TTGGTATCATTAAGATCCACGTATTGGAAAGCTCTTTGCAGTCAGAATGGAAAAGAATAATTTCTCTAAAATCTAGCTACTAGAAGTATTTTTCATTTATTGACTTTCACATATAAATGCAAATGTGGCAGATTCTGTGGGATTGACAAACTCAAATGAAACGCTTTTCAGACTAGAGCAACATGGAACACAAAGCGATTCAGGATAAGGTTCACCACAAGATTTTAAATAATGCACACTAGTGAGGTATCTCAGTAGTGTGCATTATCTCACATGTCATGCTTCGAATTCCAGGAAATAAGAAAAAATACTAGTGAGTAAGAAACTATAGACACTCATTTTATATCACTGTAAATTTCAAAATCTTCCTATCGAGCCGTATCTGGGATCCATAAAAACGTCTAAACATTTCTTCACATACATATTTGTAACCCACTTCGCTGCTGACCAAACTGCAAATCAAACTGATTCATGGGTTGAAGAGCCATATTAGATCGTGAAATATATATGTTTTAAAATTAAACGGTAACATTATAAATAACTCACAATCCGAAAATTTGGAAGTATTAACTAAACTCTAGTACGATTTTGCGATGAATTCCTACAACGGCCAACTAATGTGCTGCGCTGTGTCCCTACTTCGAAGCCACGAAAGAAGCAAAAACACTTATTATCATCTTTCAATAAATGTTATACTAAACGCATTAGTATTTTGTCTTTTCTCACGTTAGAAACAAAGAATAAGTAGAGGTGGATTCTTACATCAGCCAATCTGCAAAAACGGCATATGCACTTGGAATGTAAGTGCTGTAGCAACTTGATATGCAATGCAGGCTTTGCAGAAACATGCAATCTTTTCAGCTGTCTCCCGAGAGAGAAGTGACAGCCCTCAATATTTTCACCAGATTTACCTTTTTTCAGCAGATTGAACATGGTGTCTATGAAATGTAACTTTATTTATATGATTATTTTTCTTGAAGCGGTAATCAATTTTAATATCTAATATCGATGCTTTGGTACGTTTATCGTTATTGTTGCTTATTCAGCCATGAAACACAAGTGATTCCAGATTGTAGATATTCGTATTGCAATAAATACAAGCGGCTTTCAATATGAAAACGGTGGTGTCGCATAAATATTGCTATGAATAGGTTATCAAATAACTAATATGCTTTATTCCATTACTAAATATCTAATAATAACCACTTTAAAACGTGCAAACAATATTTTTTCTTTTTCGTTCCTTTTTTTTAACAAATCCTCTTCAAACATTTCAGAAATCAATCTGTTTGTCTGTCGTAAAATGAATGACGCGAAGCCTTCAAAACGAAATTTCAACGTTTTTCAAAGAAGTTTGTTTTGCAGAATTTTGGACTTTATAAGTGATTAAAGGAGGCCAATTCTTTCGTGTACTAACTATGAATCGCTACATGGCTGTTACTGTGGTGTTGTAATGGACATGTCCAAATCGGCAGTTGGCCCGGATGACTGTTGAGTATGCGCCGTGGTGGAAACCATTTCAGCATCGGTTGGCTTGTCGGGGTGCATTATGGGCAGATGGCATTCCCTGCCACAGCAAATGCGTCTCATGTACGGAGACAGGGCCGTGCGAACCTCTTCACGACGAACACAGAACAAAATGAACACGACCACGCCCTGCAACGAAAGCAAACGATTACAACTCACCAATCTATAATTTGGTTATGCTGACTCAAGATATCACAGAGCACTGTTGAGTCCATCACAGTAACAGATGAACAGGCAAAGTTCCTCGTTGATTAAGACTGAATGACTTGTGATGGAGTTGAGTATAGCCTTAACATAAGATCTTTAAAACTGAAACTGCCACTCCCCCACTCCAATTTTTACCCTGACATTATGTTTTATTGATTAAATAACCATACCACAGAACAGGGTCGGTTAAAGAGAGGGAACAGTTTTGCAATTCCTAACATAATAACAATTTGTCACCGACCTGGAAGGAGTTGGCCAGACAGAAGATGAGCTGGAAGGCGAATGCCGCCTCGTTGATGGCCAGGAACCCAAAACACCACGTCAAACCCAAGAGGACAGAGATACCCACAGCATTCTGGAGGCGTTTGGAGATCTGACGAGAGCGTGATACCTCTTTGACCTTCAGGAGACTACGCATGACCAAGACGAAAGTGACGATGTTATGGATGAGGATGAGACCGATGGGAGTAAGGAGACCAATGTACAGCACAAGACCAGGTCGCAGGAAACAGCTAAAAGAAAAAAGCAACAGGCATTCCAAATATTTATGATCACACTGTTATAGAAGTGATTATTCAGACGGACGTCGCCCTATTTTCATCTCGATGTTTCCTTGTGACGTGTGCAAATCCAAGATATCATGGATAACGAGATGGCGCAGTAGAACAACTGTCTTATTTTTTTAAAAGATTAACTTACTAATGGTCGTTGGTGTAGTGATGTGTCGCTGCTGCCAAGGTGATTGTCAATACTATCAGCGGTGATCCTAAAAAAGAATGTAAGCCGCAGCAGATTGAAGATTACTTTCACTGACAGTGCGTCCTCACATAATTCAGACTAATACTCTCATGGGATAGGACAGGAAAATGTGTAGCGTTCATCAACGACTTACCCCAAGCAATGAGGCTCGCCTTTAGCATGTATCGACGAGTGTCTTCTGGGAAGACCTTCACTGTGCTGATGTACATGTTCCTGGCTTCAACAGCCATCCACATCATAGTGGTCAGAGTCAAGTAGTGGAGTAAAGCAGCAACAAACACACAACCACCTCCAGATCCCTGAAAACGAAGAGCATCTGTTAGCAAACACTACAGTGCGCTATTTTGATGGAATGTTAAGGATTCAGTATGATTGATGTTTAGGTTTCAACACAAATAGAAAAACGATAAAATCTGTTTCTTTAAAATTTCGAGTGAAACCTGACATAATTCCTTTGGACTACATGTGTTATAGTGGTGACGGACGCATACCTTCAGGCAGCAGATATGAAGGCATTGTAGTAATTGCTCACCTTAGCATTGTCAACACCAGTCAAGAAAATGATATACAGCATCAGCAAGGAGAAGCAGAAATGAATGAAAATCTGTCGGGATTTCCCGCCTCGCAGTTTCCTAAACACAAGAATAAAAACAATGACAAGTCACAGCTCCAGCGTCACTCAGCCAGTAGTAAACAATATTAGCCTAAGAAAAACATGTCAACAGGATTTGCTTTGCTTCTCTCACCTGATAGTGAGGTAAATGACCACCGTAATAGTCAGAGCTATGATGGAAAAAACACAGCCGACCTGACTGATGATATCAAGCGCTTTTTCAGAAGGACTCCGATTTTCATCATCTGGTGCTTGGCCCTTCACGTCCTTTAAACAAACAAAATATGAAAATGTGCGAAAGTAATGGCAATGTCATGATGCTGTCTGTTGAAATTTCTAAAATCGTATAAGAATTCTTTTGTTCATTTAAAGTGCGCACCACAAGGATGGCAAAGTTGGTGGCATGGGTGCAGTTACACTTGACTCTGTCATTGATCGCTTCAACAAGCTCGCATCCAGCCGTTGTCCAATCACCAACTCCGTCTTCAAGCTCAAAGTTCCACGACACGCAATGGACACTGCTTGATTCCTCCTGATTTTGGACACCAAAAGATGAACAAATTGACAACACTGGAATGAAATTGTGTTCTCAATGTGACTGTTTATTGAATATAAGCAATGTGAGATTGATCTCTATGGAAAGATGGAAATCGATGACGTGGAAATTGGACGGAACGGAAAGCTGCATGGGGAATTAAAAACGTGTCGGGAAAGGAAATTTAAAAAAACACGAATTGCAATCTGTAGAAGAATGGAAAATTACTTTGGTATTTTCTGTATGTAAGTTAATAGCTGC